TTGAGCCGGGTCATCCCTTTCCCCGTAACACTTTATTTTTCCAGAATAATTGAAAGACATGATTGTTGCTGCCATGCTCACTTTTTTTAACCGATCTGTACTTTCAGTGGAGGAAAAAATATCTGTCTTCACTAACAAACTTTTCGCACTATCGAGTGAAGCATATATAGCTACAGTAAACCAAATTACATTCACATGTGATGTGTGTGGTTGCACAGATATATATATATATATGGCAATTTCACTTATGAAGGAGAAACTTTTTTGTCACTGATGCAAAGTGCCAGTGAACTTTGATGTACTTGGGGAGTGAGATAGATAAGAGGATGCATTCACCCGGTGAACTTATTTTATATAGGATTAGGATTTTTTTCCCCTTCTTTTTTCATCCCATTCCATCTTCTCTTCTCACATTCTTTATTTTATCTTTCTCTTTCTATAAAAAAATTAATATAAGATGTTGACATAGGTTAACCGTGACCGTTCAAATAGGAGGGGAGATCATTGAATTTTTATAGCATGTGTGTGCTGAGATCATTGAATTTTTTTTTAGAAAATGCTTTTAAATGGCTGAAAGCATTTTTAGAGAAAATATTTTTAAAACCAATCTTTAGTAGAAATGTAAAGTTAACTCTGGAAAAACACTTGAAGTGCTTGCAGGAAGCACATAATTAGTGCTTCTTTCGGGAAGCACTTCACGTGTTTTTGGTATTAAAAAAATATTTTCTCTAAAAATATTTTTAATCATTTAAAAATATTTTCCAAACGAGTCCATAATTTATAGACTTACTCCTAGCTAGATAGGAGTATAAAGTTTTTCTCCTTTTTTTCCGTTCTAAATTTCTAATTAAACGAAGTTTTCCAAACAAAAAGAGATTGACTAGGTTATTATTTTTTTCTTTTTTATTTTAAAAAAAAAGCACCGTTGGGTGGCTTCACCATTGCAAATTATCTTTACGAAGGTCGGAAAGCCTCACAGAGGCATTTCAGTCCCTTCTTGCCATCATCTAGTGATTCACTAAATCTAGGAATCGAACTCAAAACGTACCGTGTTGAATACGAACATATAATTCGTTCACAATTACTTGACCACCCATGATGTTTGAGAATGACTAAGTTGTTGGCCATGTCATTGTTTGTTGTTGTTTATTGCCTTATATTTTCTTTATATACATATCAAAAGATTAATATGATTGAATTATGCAATTAATAGTGGATAATACTCAAGTATGTGGGGAAATGTTGCATATTATGAGTAAATTAAGCTGAGAGAGGGGGGCCCAAAACATCATGTAATTAAGCTGCATATTTAGTACTTAGAAACCTTAAAGTAATGATGAGAATAGGGATGCAACTTGGACTGGACCAATCCGAACAATTTCATGTTTAATTCGACTTTAAATCCGAACAAGTGGGTAATTTTTAAGTTATAACCTGCCCGAACCCAACTCAATTTTAACCTGTTCATTGATTGGGTTGAGTTAGGTTGATCAATTGTCCGTCCATCCCCCCAACCCAACTCACCCCGACTAACCAAACTCAATCTAACCAGATTGTAATCCATATCAATTAATGCTCATACTACACTCAAATGAGCCAAGTTCAAAAACCAACGCGCTTTCTAATATTTTTTTAATAAATTACGCTTTATAATTACTTAAGCTTTTAAGGAATAAAAGGCTTTGATTAGTCAGCCCATATTTGCAGTTTCTAAATCCTAAAGCTTTATGGTAGATGGATTTATGAAATTAAAGTTTGCTAGCTTTGATGTTACTTGGCTTTAGGAATTCTTGAAAACTATGTTGTTACAAGATTAAACTAGAAAAGGTTGGGCAACCCAAATCCAACTCAAGTAAACCTTAAACCAATTAAACCCGAACCCAAATGAACCCGAATGAAACTCAACCCGAATCCGGACCCGAATGGTAAAAATTGAGTTGGGATTAGAATAGTACACATGCAAACTAAACAGTCCCAATGAATCAAACGTTGTTAAATCAAACCTCGTAAATCTATACACATGTATCTCTTTGGTGTAGCACATGCATATATGGGACCATCTGATCCTCTTCACGCGTATATAATTCAACGCTTCACACTATCTCAAATATAAGGACGATCAAATTAAAATGTGGCCCTAATTGCTTTGGAATATGCACCTATATATGTAAGGTACAAATTATAAAAATAAAAATAAAATAAATTTTTTTTACTAATTTATTACTGGTAATACGCGCCTCTTAAGATATTTTGAACACAATATTCATCATTTTTCTTATTTTTTTATTATATTTTTCTTTCCCCTTCACGTGGGCACCATCAACTTTCACTTATCCTTTCATTTTTTTATTCTTTTCTCTCTTCCCACTTATATTTATATTTTATTTTATGATGACCAAATTACCCCTGCATTATTTGATATATTATATTGGGCTGCTTTTGGCTTTTTTTGGTTGAGGGGTAATTTTGTCCTAATATTTTTGTCAAGTGCGTGGCCCCAAAGTTTTTGTCAGCACGTGTGACCCCAAATTGAGGCTTTCGCTTTCTATTATATAGATAGATACATACATACATACATACATATGTGGGGTTTATGTATCAATGTATAGGGTGGGAGCTTCAATGAAGGATCCTCAAGTAACTTTATTTTGAGATACACTCTAATGAGAGGAATTAAATTAAAGTTGAATTGAATTAAGGAGGAGTTGAAATAGAGAAGAGTCAAAATCAGATTCCTGTTGAAATTATTTACTAAAAAATTTCTGCAATAAGGATAAGAATGGTACTAATTCCATATAAATGGTTTACCATTTAGCTAAATCGGAATAAAAATCAATATGATTATTAAAATGCCATTTTTATAAATTATTTGTATGTTCATATTGTTTTCTAATCATTTATATACTAATTAATTATTATCCATATATAATAGAAATTCGATTAGTTTTATTCATTTTTACCCATATATTTCAAATAAAATAATTATAGTCTCTTTCTAGGGTTAATAAATTATTTATAACCTTTTTGGTTAATAAATCATTTTTGGTTTAATTAATAGAAAATCAAGTGAGGGCAGTGTTGGAATAAAAAGAACCAAGTAAGAGCATAATTGGTTAAAGGAATTCATTCCGATTCCCCCACATGCCAAGGAATTCAAATACCTTCCTTGTCTAGGAGTCCAATTCCTCCAAAAGGGGAGTTGGATTTCTAAATTCGTGTGGACACCACATACATTTTGATTATACCAAAGTTAAGTAAACAAAAAAGTATTCCATAATCTAAATCCAATTTTTTAAATTTCTGTGATTCATTGGGGTCTTCTTTCAAAAATTATTGTAGCAAAATATTACCTAAATTTAAAGCCATTTAATCTTTCAACTAAATGGTGGTCATTTTATTGATTCATATACCCACCTATATAAGAAAGGTGATCAACAATGTTATTTGTAATTTGTGTCTAAATGATATTGTTTTTCCTTAAGATATTGCGTTCGTCTAAGTTTTATAAGAATGATCTTTTTGTTGTGTTGTAAGCCTATTTGACTGAACAACTAAAGGGCAAAGGGAGGGGGTGTGGCACGACAAGAGAGAGAAGATAGATATGTGATTTTGAGGTGTATGTTATCTTAATGGTGCCCTTATTTATAGTAGTAGGGACGGTAAATTCTTTAGGATTACAACTCTAATAAGATAATATCTAATCTACAAGATATGGTAAAATTCCACAAGAATATTTCAAGATATAATAGAATTTACGCGATCACATTCATAAACATTAAGACTACAACACTTTGATCGAGATTAAAAACAGGCGATTCGATTCATTGAAATAAAATTCGTAGCAAGCCCAACAATATATCTTTGTCAGATAAGGTGATTGAAAGAATTTCTCATTAGAACTCCATGATCTTAACACCACAACACTCCCCCCCCCCCCCAACCTCTTTCTTCTCTCTCTCTATATTCACATGCTTCTTCAAAATACTAAATTTATAAAAATTTAATTGTGCTTTGCAGGTGATTGTACTGCCACTTATTATGGGCTTAAGTTATAACCAACTTATATTGGGCTTATGGAGGAGAGAAAATGTTGTAAACCCAAGGACAATACAAACACATAGGCCCAACTTTTGTTTTGTACAAACTGACCGGGCTTGACATAATTAAGAGACCTTTGATTCAACTAAGGTCCCAATTTTGTGCACAATCAAGGTATTTGTTTAGAGATATTTTTCTTCTCAATGGCGAAAGAGGTCCCAATTTTGAATTCTTCGCTACAAGGTTTATCATTATATGCACTTGACCCCAATAACTCAATATTTTCCGCTTCATTTTTTGGTCTTCATCCTTATATCTTTATGCACAAATTCAATGTGCATGAGAATAAGAATTATCTATCTATCTATTTATCTATATAGGTTAAGGTCTTGGGGACACACGTTTCTGACATACGTTTGTACATGTTTTTGTGGGAACCACTCCGTTATGTATTTCATGATCCAACCGTCTATTTTCTACGTTATACTCAAATTTCATGTCTACCAAAAATTACCCAAATCCGAAACCATATGACTGTTGAATAAAATTTATTATTTCTTTGTAGAACTATATTTGTCCATTTTTTTACTACAAATAAATATCTTAATGGTTTTGGATTTTTCTAATTTTTTGTAAGGATGATCTATGAATACATTACAAAATGAGCCCTATAAATTGGGTGTCAAAGCATGATCCTAACCCTATACATATATCCAGTCTTTTTTTTTTTTTTTTAATAACAAACGATAGCATTGTGAGTTAGATTGTTAAATGTTAGGGAAAAGGGATCGATGGGCATCAAACCCGCACCAATATGCATAGAAATCATTATTTTCTACCACTACGATAAAGTGTCATCTGCAACCAGTCTTTTTTTTAAAAAAAAAAAAAAACATTATATAACCATAGTCTCAAAGCAAGAAATAAGTTCGCAATATTGTAAACTTAAGCCCTCTAACAAAAGTTAAAAGGACTTTAGGCCTTTGAAAGGTCCCCTTGAAATTCAGTCACTGCTGATTTTACGTGAAATTAAGTTACATGCAATTTATATATTGCCAGAAAAAAAGAAAAAAAAAAGAAAAAAAAAAGCACAAACTTGGGTATATGCTTTTTTATGACTGATTAGAGGCACTGATCAGATTCATCAGCAGCATAATCTCAAAGCATCCATCCAGGGATGAAACAGTTCACTTGTTGGGCATGAGTTGTGGCACCCATCTGCTCTGACCCCTCTGCGGGATACCTGTAAATTAGTTAAAGTAATTAGCTTCTAATTAAGCTATTAGTGAAGTTTAACATAACTTATTCAGATGAATAATTAAAAATTAAATACTTGTATAATTACCCTATTTGCAAAGTGGGATTGCAATCTAAAGGCTGGAAGAACCCTTGGGATTGAGCATGGTGATGCTGGGTTCCATATGCCATACCCTGGTCACCTCCTTCCCATGACTGTCTAAGTTGATTTCTTGAACCAATTTCATCCAACTGCAATATTCATATGCTAATATTATTGAATATAAATATTCAGAATTAATCAAGAGAGCACATTGGACCGTTGTGAGACTCGTTAGTTTTTCCTTACTGATGACGGTGTCACAATCAAAAGAGCACATTAAAAATTTAACCGCAGTGAGCCTTGAGACAGAAATTTACCTTCATTGTCAAATCCCTGTTGGCTTCGATTAACAGTTGTTCCTGTAATTAGAACAAGGTAGATAATTCACTTTTAAGCACATGAAACTGCAATGCTTTCATTTCTAGGCAAAACTGAAAGGCACATACCTTGTTCTGAAGGTCAGAAAGTTGGTCCAGCAGATACTGGGTCTGCAAAGCAAGATGAGATGAACAATTAAAGCAACATCTCCTAAAAGAGCTGAAAGGGGGTAGTTCAAGCCAATACTTCATTAAAATCTAAGGGTTTGCGCGAGAATGCTTTCTGAATGGCTAAATGCACTTCCAAATAACGAAAATTGGTTATGGCTATGCTAGGCATAACTAAAAGTTGTTTTGATTCCTAAAAGCACTTTTACCAAAAGATTTGTTGTGTTTCCATTAAATCACTTCGAGCAGAAGTACTAATAAGAAAAAATATTTTCTACATAAGCAATCTCAAACGGGCCCTAAAAATGGATGATGAATTCTGCCATATGGTCAATGTATCACTCATAATTTGATATTAAACTGCAGTTACCTTAGTGGACCTAACTTGCTTCAAGGAGGCCTCAAGTTGGCGCTCAAGCTGCTCAAGCTCCTTTGTGTTTAATGGACCCAAGTCCTCACCAAGAAGATTTCTACATGCATGGATACAACATAAATTGAAATTATTCATCAAAAATGCAAATTTCTAAGCGATAAACAATTCCATGAAGACCACAGTTAATCCATTGGCTTAATTATAATTCACAGATGATTAATTACCTCTGAGTTCGTTGTAGGGACTCACATCTACCTTTGAGTTTCATGTACTCACGACAGCTGCTCTGATATATATATATATATATATATATATATATATATATACATGCAAAGTAGCAAAAATGTATTAGCGAAGTAAAACGTTTTAAAATTTATACACGATATAGAAAACTAGCAATTTATTAGGTGTTACCTCAAGTTCCTTTGCAGGTATGTTGACTTGATCCACCGCACCATAACTGCACTTTTGGTACCTGTCTAGGGTTTTGAGAATGCTAAAGAAGAAGCGAGGAGAAAAGGAAGGGGGAAAAAAGACCAATTAATTAGGATAATAAAAGATGAAATTTTTTGTATATGAGAAGAAACCATAACATGCATGCCAATCCATGTTGTAGAACTATTTTCCCAGCGAAAGACACCAAACCAAAACTCACTGCTATCATTTGATATGAACTTCTCATGTCTCAAATGATTGCACATATATAGTCAATTATTGTACATATGATTTAGTGTGCCCGAAATACGGGACGGAATAACATATTTCATAATACAATTGGAGGTTCTCCGATTGTATAATAATATGTAGTGTTATGTATATATATATATATGATATTATAAGAACAAGAGCTTGTTGATTTCTTTGCATAATTTCAATGCAGCAAAGTATTTTCACCAATTATAAATCGAAGCATCCAAGACACAATAGTCCTCATAATCACTGGATTCAGCATATAAATACGCCATGTATTCTTTCATGCGAGCAACATAATTATCCTAGTTTAACTACATTTCATCAAAGCAAGGAGTTCGCCCATTATACTCAAGAATGGTTAAGTAACATTCTCATCCCGATTTACATATTATGATGTCAGACATTTAAATTAACAACGAATCCACACAAGAAAGTACATGATTAACGTTCGAAATTGACAACCTAATACAAATGTTTTTCCTAAATCCTTATAGTTAGCATTAACAACAAATATATACATGCATTTTTTTTTCACACATGAAACATATCTAAACCCAAGAATCTCATTTCACAAGTATGGAAGTAAAGGGCTTCCTGTTAATAGTCATTTCAGGTTACACCAAATAGATAAATTATATAACAAAAATAGCTTGTCAGCACTCAAATATATTGTTGAATCTCTTTACGAAAACCAAATTTATGGTTCTGATTGGACATCTTTTCATATTAGAAGGTACCAAGCTTTAGTTCAAAAACTTGCCTCTCATTACTTACATTGGATTTATGAATGTGTCCAATCCATTTTTTTTTTAAAGGAGACTAGCGGATGGCTTCACCATCATAGTTCACTCTTTTGGGGACCATATGGACTACAAACCTGAAATTCATCTCTAACTACTGAGCCTCTGCGTGGTGGTTCATTTACTGGTTAAATATATTTGGTTTATGAATATCCTACACATACCTAAAAATTACTAATAATTCCTGAACCCCCATATGTAAAAACCCTAGAATATTAATTGTCTCCTGAACACAATGAAAAACTATAATCTGCACTGTTAAAACTTAACAAACATGATTTGCTTGCACAACAGACATACACATATAATCACAAAGATTAATGCTGAACAGAGAAAAAAACTGTCTTTAATTAAGAAGTGGTGAAGCAAAAAGGAAAAAACTTTAATTTTTCTTTTAAGTAATTCATGATTTGAAAGATGTCACACAGCTTATAATCCACTGTACAATAGATATAGTTCTTCTTTGATAGATGTGTCAAATATACGGGTTTCAGAGCAAAAATAATCACAAGAAGTAACTTTCTCAAATACATGCATGCCAGAGAACTCTTGAGTTTCAAATTCTATGGAAAAAGCAATATAGGATCATTATGATCTCAGGCTTTTGATGCTCACACCTCTGGAGCCGATCGGCCATACTCTCTTTAACTCAATCAATTCACACAAGGGGACTAGCTTGAACAAGATAGTGCAAAAGATGAATTACATTTTTTTTTTGTCAAAGCAAAAGATGAATTACTTAAATTTTATTTAATTAAATAATTAGAAAAGTTTATATGAAATTTAATTATAGACTAATAATGTTTTACTTTCTCGTTTCCTTCTTTTGCACTTCTCCCTCAGGGTTTTGTTCTTTAAATCCCTTTAATATTTGTTCAATTAATCCTAAGGATAGAAAATGAGGGAGGATTGAAGGGAGAGAAAATGGGAGTGCGAATATCACTTTTTAATTATATTTCACGACTATACATGCAAGGGGAAGAAATTAAGCACAAAGAAGTAAAGGCAATCTTTTTTCATTTAACCAAAAAAATAAGAAAGAGTCAATCCTTGCTTGCAAAGAAGAAATCAAATTAGAAGAAAGAACTCCAAAGGTAAGTAAAATAGGAACATTTGTGCTTCAGATCCAGTAATGCAAGAATTAATACCCAAAAAACTGACAAAATCCAGTAATGCAAAGAAGAAATTAGATAAAAACCAGAACCTTAATCAGCTAATGCAACAATTATAGTGTCCCAAAAAATGAAAAAATTAGTACCTAAAAATGAACAAAATATCACTTTGTAAAATCAGATACTAAATTATATGAAAACTTAACACCCTAATTTTTTTTGAACAAAAACTTAACACCTTAATTAGCTAAACAACATACACACATATTTATCACAAAAATTAATTTTAAATAACGGATAAGAAAATGAATCTTTTCAGGTAATGGAACTTAAAATTTATATCATCAGCCTTGTGAGACTATTATAATTAATGTTTCCAATATATATAGCACTAAAAATTAATTTCAAGAAAAAGTAGACAACTTACAAATAGATGCTTTTGCAATAGTAGAAGCAAATATCATATATATGGATCCCAGTGCAGCCCATGATGAAATCTAAATTTGTATCATCAGCCTTATGAAATTAATTAATTAAACAAAAAAGAGAGAAAATTTATGGAACAGGCTTTCATTTGTAGAAGCAACTAAAATCATATATGTGGATCCCAATGAAAGAAATTATAATTTGTATCATCAGCCGAATGAAAATTATTAATTAAAAAATTAAAAAGAGAGAAACTTTGTGAAAGGATTACATTTGTAGGGGCCATTAAATCATATTAAATTGATCCCAATGAAACCCATGAAGAGATCAAAGAAACTATAGAGAGAACAATTAACAGATCCCAACTCAAATCCAGAAATTACAGAAGGAAAATTTTGATCAGACCATATACATATAAGGAATTACCTAGGGCTGCTACAAAACTCATAAAGCTTGCCACGGTTGGAAAAGACGATGAGAGCAACCTCAGCATCACAGAGAACGGAGAGCTCATAAGCTTTCTTCAGAAGCCCATTTCTTCTCTTTGCAAATGTGACTTGCCTGTTTATCTTGTTCTCTATCCTCTTCAGCTCCACTCTTCCTCTCCCCATGTCCTTAATTACTAAAAATATTATCCACCCAAAAACCACCCCCGCACACCAAACACCCACAAACCCCTTAATTATTTTTCTTTCCCTTTTTTTAATATATATATTTCTTAATTTTGTGTATCTAATCACCAAAAGTTTTGATCTTGGCAATATTTTCTTTCCCTTTCTTGTTCTTCTCTCTCTATCTTTGGTACAAATAATCCTCCTTTTCTAGGTCAGTACCAAACTGTAACCAAATATGTGAAAAAACAAGAGAAAGTTAGATACTCACTCAGTTGGAAAACCCTAAAGAGATATGGAGGAGAGAGAGAGAGAGAGAGAGAGAGAGAGAGAGAAGAGAGAAAGATCAGAGCTTGTTGTCTTGTAGTTCTATCTCTTGAGTCTTGGCTTATCTTTTAACCTCAGGTTCCGATCTACACCCAGAAACTCTGAAATGAAATTTAGGGTTGGTGTTCTTTCCAGTTTCATATAAAATCTCATTTTTTATTAATTTTTTGTTTTGTTTTGTACCATTTCTTTTGTGTGAGAGAATTCTACAACCAATCACAGTTTGAGCGCGTTTGGCAGTGTCATCTTTTGTAGGAAAAGACTTTTGTGACAATGAAAACTCACATGTACTATTGTGAAATTATATGATGAGAAACACTAAGGTGATTCTTTTAAATTGGGGTTATATATAGACTCTCCGTCACTTCATTTTTTTAGCATAATATTTTATGATGTTGGCATGGGAATTGTGTAAAAAAAATAAGGTGACGGAAAGTTCATGAAGAGTCCCACTTTTGAAAGAGTATCATTAGCATTTCTCTTATATGATTTACTAATTAACAATTTTGCAACATGAAATCATTATTTTGGTTGTCCATTGTGGTTTTCCGTGAATGACGAGTTAAAACTAAATTATTATGATTGATTATTGTACGTCTTAACCTAACTTTTACCCTTTATTATAGTTATATATATATATATATATATATATATTACTTTTCATGTTTAGGGTGATTACCAAATTGTGGCTTTCGCTTTCTCCTTACATTATGAGGTTTTGAAATTGTATTCAATCTATATTTTAACTGTTTGGATGCTTGAATCTTTGTTAATTTGATGACTGGACAGATGATGTAAGGGAGTGTAAAAGCCATACTTGCAATATTATGACAAACTCTGTAACTAGTTGTCGTTTTGGGATACAAATTTAGCATGAATTAAGAAGTTGAAGCTTCGTGATGACCATTTTAGGTCCATATAGATTGTAGTGTATGGTGTGACGTCTACATCAACTTAAAAACGGTAACTTTATGGCTCATTTTAAAATACCATCCTAATCACATCAGGGAATTTGCGAACAAACGTTCTTTTTGAAAAAAACATTTCTAAATGGCATTAACAAAGAACATTTCGCTTAGTTGATCAAGAGCATTATCTTGCTTTCAAAATACTGAATTCGAATCTCTCCTATCCCAAAAATTGCTTGTATAAAAATAAGGATTAAAAAAAGAAAAAGAAGATCATTTTTCACAAATGAGTTTGGGAGGTATTACACACGCAGTAGGGCGCGTGGTAATTTGAATCTATTGGAGTAAAAATGGATTTCATGGTATGTACTGTTCTCACAAGTAGCAGATCGTCGTCACCTACCTTAAAACAGATCTCACGTGTTTGTGTCTCACTTACCTGATCTTTCTTTTGAAAATTAGAAATTAAAAATAAAATGGTTTCTTAGACCAAAATGCCTCTAAAACATTAGGTCATTTCTAATCGATCCGGCCAAATAGGGCTAAAAATAGCTCGGAATGATATGAAAATCGTCTCCAACCGAGGGTTAGGGCAAAAGGCTTGTAGGCCTCACTAGGCCCAAACTCCCAAATTAAGCCAGCGGGCTGGCCGTTTCTAGCCAGCCAACCAACCCTCCAGCTCCAAAATGTTAAGCTTGACATTTTGCCAGCCCTCCAGCTCAGCTTATTTGAATGCCAACGGCTACCCTGCGTCAGCATAATGCCAGCTAGCAATGGCTAGCTAACGTCATGTTGCCGTCAAGTTATCGTTGGAATTTGAATTTTTTTTTTTGGACGAATCCTATAAATACCTACACCATTCCTACAACATTAAAAGCTGAAGATAAGAAATGTTACGTATATAAAAATCCAAACTAAAATTTGCACAATCAATTATATCTCGACATGTGGCACTTGAAATCTTATCTGCAAAATTATTAAGATTACATAAAGATAAGAAATTTGGAAAGTTATTCACTTTAGAGACACGTGTCACTCGAAATCCTATCCGAAAAATTATTGAGATTACATAAAGATAAGAAATCTAGAGAGTTACTCATGTTAGAGACATGTGTCACTCAAATCCTATCCAAAAAATTATTGAGATTATATAAAGATAAGAAATCCGGAGGCTTATTCATTTGGCAACAAGTGGCACTCAAAATATGTCCGAAGATCTTATTTTAATATGGTAATTTAATTTAATTAACTATATTAATTTAATTAAAATAATAAATTATGTTTGGCCTATAGCCCTTTGGCCCCCTCAGTTGGAGATGGTATAAAATATGGCCTAGCAATGTTCATTAAAATATAATTTCTTGCAGGACTATAGGGCTAAAGGGAGCCCTTTGGCCTCCTTTGGTTGGAGATGGCCTTAGGGTGTTGTGGTGCACGGGGCTATTTCGGACTGGATTAGATTTGGGGACTAAGTTGGATTGGACTTGACATGGACTGAGTAGTATAAGAATAATGAAGCATCTAGTGCGGTGTCGAACTAAGTTGCAGACTACATTATTTTGAGATCCAAATATGTTTTTGTCATTTTATTATTATTAACCCCTCTCTCTACCTTTCCTTTCTCTTCTCTTGATTTCTTTTTTCCATCAGTCAAATGTCCAAAATAACCCTAATACAAGTCATGTGCAAGTATTTTGGATGAAAAACTTAATTATGTTAGGATATAAGATGATAAATTAATAATTTCGAAAAGTTGAAATGACAAATCCCTTAAAATTTTATTTCATATAACAAATTGAAAAAAAATGTATAAGTTCGTATGATAAAATTTCCCAAACGATGTTATAGTATGAACTATGAACTATATATGCAATGTCCATAATCTAAGAACTTATCCATAGGTTGTTTAAATCAGAAATGTGACTAAGAATTTGAGACATTTCAACTCCTAAATGTAAATTTATAGCCGCAAGAAGAAACAATGTTACAAGTGTTACATTTATTGATTACATTGTAAGAAATACAAGTGTGGCTTAAAGACATTGTAGTAGTCGATTTTGTTTGGTTGGAAGTCTAAAGATCAATGTGCATACAAGTTATTAGTCTAGTTGTATTTTTCTTCCAGCACATTGTTGAAAGAAATCTCAATTTCAAACTTCTTTTTCTTTAATGCCTTATTTTTATGAGAATCTAAATACCACAAATAATGTATGACCACAAAAATGTAAGGGACAAGAACCAATGAACAACCATTTTAGAATGAAAGATGCATTTCAAGAACAAAAGGTTAGAACAGAAAATTTAATAGGGTTGCATGATTACGGCAATTTTGACATAGAGTGAGGACCGTCGTGAAGTTGTGAGAGACCAAAATATAGAAAGTTTCATGCTTGTTATTAGATCGATCATTCAGTTATGACATTAGAACGAGGTCGTACGTGTAAAACCAAAGTATAAAGTCAAACGAGATGCATAAATAGAATGCCAAGGATTGGTTTTACTTCTTTCTACAAAGCCAGAAACGCTACATTGCTTAGACCACAGGTTAAACCAGATTTGCTGATACACAAAGGGCATTCATATTATAATCAAGAATGGGGAGATATTTTTTCAGTGTGCCGAGAACACAACCTGTTACATCACGTGTCATAATACAGGTGGTTGGATACTTGAAAAAAAAATATCAACCACTTGTACTATGACACTAGGTATACCGAGCTTTGTTCCTAACCCACTAAAAATTTCTCCAGAATGGGTAGTTCAGTCAATTCACAACCTAATTGCCAAATGAATGCAACCCATATGGGAGTGGAATAATGTAACATCCCACATCGACCAACGGAGAGGGAGTGATGCGCCTTATATGTACATGCCCACCTCCATATAGCACGAGACCTTTTTGGAAACTAACTGGCTTTGGATTCCATCGGAACTCCGCAGTTAAGCGAGTTCGGGTGAGAGCATTCCCAGGACAGGTGATGCACTGAGAAGTTCTCATGTGAGTCCCAGAAACAAAATCGTGAGGGTGTGGTTGAGACCCAAAGCGGACAATATTGTGTTACGACAGGAGCAGAGACTAGGATGTGACAAATAATCCTACCAAAAATATAAAAGGATGTGTGATTTTCTTTGATGAAGCATTGCAACAACTGACGGAACATCTGGCATATGTGAAAAAGGCATTTTTGGCAGCTAAAAAAATAAAAAAAATTAGGAGGCAGGTGGGAGATATACGTATATATGTGTGTGTGTGTGTGCGTGTGTATCCTTCTGATGGATAGGTTTCTAAAGAAATTATTGAACAAAAAATAGAGGGTTTCAGAAATTAGATTAGATCAGTTTCTGGAATAAAAGAATATTACCAACGTCCTCACGTTTTGAGGTCCATGCGTCCCCACAACTCGCTATCACTCAATTGCTACAAAAGGGCTAATAATGTCATTGGAAAGATATTTTTCTTTTGGACAATGCTTGTGTTATAGGGACTTACATAATTGTCCCCTTATTTACGACTAACGAATTTTTACTGTACGAATATCATAATTGAAACAATTCATTCTCGTGATCATCATCTAAGGATCAAAGTATGCAAAATATTTAATTTGGAGATCTTTTAGCTATTCATATGCATATAACAAATAGACGGTTCATCAAGATGATGCTACTTGTTACTAAAATTGTTGATTGATTTGATATGTATGGATGACTAAACGATCTTCAAATTGAATGATCTTTTGCATATATAATCATTAAATGATTATAAAAATAATAAATAATTTTGATTATGGTGTTGGGACGGTAAAGATTCATTAATCGTATGTGGAGGGACAAGTAGGTTCTCCGTAAGAAAACACATGTATTATCCTCATTCTCTTCCCTTGACAAAATAATTAGGGTTTCTTCATATATTATCTTTAAAATGTGGATTTACGATACTACATATTGCGATTTGCATGCGATCCTTCTTGACATGCGTGATCTTTCACGTAATGTATTTTCGTGGTTTAGGGTTTAGCTTAGGTCAAAATATAATAATTAAGAAGAAAATGGCGAAAATTAGTCTGCTAAAATAATAAATATCAACAATAGAATTAGTTATATTATTGTAATTAATATTAAAAATAGTGTGATTGTGTAAATTCTAAGTAGAGATAAATTATAAATCTGTCGGAATCTAGAAAATCTTTCTTATTAGACTTTGTATTACTTAGAAAGTAAGTTATTTTCTCTTTTT